TTGTAAAAGTCTCATTTAGTTTTAGCCCTGATAATGCCCATTGAAAGATAGACGAAATCTCGGCCCGTTTTCACCAGAAAGAGGGAGGATGTCTCGTGTACTGCCTCAACCTGAATGTCCTATTAGAGCCAAACGGCTACAGCAGGACGGAAATCAGCAGTCGTCTTTTGGTGAGATCGACCTTCGGAGATCTTCTTCGTGCACTTTTATATGAAATGCTGGCTCCCCCACCACTATCCAAATTACAAATTAGCCCATAGTGGTGGTCATCTGTTCTAAATGGAGCCATGAATTTTCGGTTTATTCATGCTAGCTGAAAGCTGGGGGCCCTTTTTCTTTCGAAATTTTCCTCTCTTCTACGTCGCCATTAGCCCCTGGATCAGATGGTTACAGAGGTTGGCCTGCACTCCATCAATTCACTTTCAAATTCTAAGATTCCAATAAACATGAGATATTCCAGTACTGAGAATAAGTTTGTTTATTGTATTCAAAGGAACGAGACCCTTTAATGCTTAAAGGGTGACTGAGCACAAAAATATCTGTAGATTGTATTTGTTTAAAAAATCCGAGTTAGCTGAGAACCGGGCAGAAACTGGACATGAGATTGTATGGTGTCAAACTCCGCAGCTAAATGGTACATTAAAGCATCAATCGGAATAGTCAATACATTGAAAGTAAGGAATACCTGCAAGGAGTTGATCAAGTACTACTTTCCTTTAATTAATAGACTCACGGCGAGAGAGGATGTTGAGCCGCCCGAAAAAAGGGGACGACTCAACTAGAATTTTATTTTATTTTATTCTCGTGTTCCTAGCCCCTTTACTTTTCTCTACTTTTTGTCCACTCTCTCTCTCTCACACACATGAAGACAAAACGCTCATCAACATAACCAGAAGTGTATCCAGCCTGGTTAAAATCAAGAGAGAGGTAAGGTGGTGATGGTGATCATCAAACCTTGATGACCGAGAAGAGACGTTATTTTTTCTGTTATAATTACTTTGAAGCATCACCGCTGGTTTCGTGCATTTGCGAGCACATGTGGGCACATACAAACACGCATATACACACATACGCACTAACATGTTTCGGGGTTGATATATGATTTGAATCAACCAAATCACTTTTTATATTATCAAAGACCTTGGATTTGTGGTATATATTTACGGCATTTAGAGATGAACCAGTGAGTTTTCTTGACTTGTTAGTCTGAAGTTGGCTTTAAGGATGATATCCTGATCTGATGCTGTCCGTCATATGAAGGTAAAAAGCTTAGCTAATGTGGCATGACTCGCCATTTCGAAGGGAAAATTGGTTGGAAGGAATTGCTGGTGTGGTCTCACCGAAAGCCGAAGGAGGATTGTCGGATAGGGAAGACTGTTGAATTGTGCCAAGAAGTCCTCGACTCACCGTCCTGCCACACCGATGAAACTGTGCTAAACTTTTGTCTGTACTGTTTCTGTGAAAGACAT